GCTCGAAAAAGCACCCAGCTCGGAAAGAGCCCTGTAAACAACCGCAGGGCTGAGATAAGCCCACTCCCTGCTACACGCTGTGGTTCAGGAAATTCCAGAATTCTCAGAAACCGTGTTAAAAGAAGTGAGAATTCACAACATCTACTACAAACAGCTATTTCAGACTGGTTTCGGATGATCCAGTTCGTAGACTCTGGAAAGCACTTGCCGCCCTGTTTCGTGCTTTTTACAAGAAAATTGTAAAAACGTGTGTTACCCGAAGAGGTCTCTTATGTCCAAAAGTTACGGGTTCTGACATTTAGCTCTTGGCTCTTTTGCCATTTATTGTCTCCCGGACTTACTTTGCAATGCGATGCTTAACTTTGGCTAACTTTTTTTTTAAGTGGATTAATGTTTTGCTTTTAGTACTTTTTAATACTAAGAATCTATCTTCTAGATACTTTTTATTTGCTTTGGAAATCAAAATGCATGACTTTTCAATATGTGGTCCTTCTGTAATGCAGACGTTATGAGTTACTTAGAGGGGGAAATGACTGCTAGTTTTCTTAACTCATTTACTGTACTTGTAGCTGGCACCGACTGTCAACTTTTCTTGACAACTTTCATCTCCTGCCTCAAACTGATTGTTTGAGACTTCATCACACACTCTGAATCGTGGGGAACCCCATCTATAGACAAGTTTCTTAGCAAAAAATTACTTACTTCATAGTTTCGTTCCCATTAAAATCAACACAGAAATAGTTCTATTTTAAGAATCTGTTTAAAGATAGCTAACAATATCTGGGAATCTGACATGCAGTCATGCGTTTTCTATGAATCTAGCAAGTAGAAAGGGTTTGGCTCTTCACAATTACACATTTTTTACAGTAATCGGGATTTTGGAAGACTTAAATTTATTTAAACTCATTGACTGGGAAGGCCCAGAAAGTCTCAGAATTACTAAGTAACATTTTATTTTAAAAGTGTGCTGTCATACTTCCTTTCAACATTAATAGATCATATTAATTACAGTAAAGTACTTGAAAACTTTTTATGTCAGTGAGTTTGAAACAGCCTAAAACACTTTCTCTGTCTCTGTCTCTGTCTCTGTCTGCCTCTCTCTCTCTCTCTCTCTTCTCTCTCTGTGTGTGTGTGTGTGTGTGTGTATTTGAAGCCATTACTACTTAGAAACCACCTCGGTTTCAGGGTCTACAGCTACGTATATTTTATAACTAAAGGAAAGTTTTGTGAACATCACAAAATTACTTGGACTGCTCTCAACTGCTTTCTGCAACCAAAGAGTACAAGAACAAAGCTGTGTGAGCCACCAAGGAGACACATTCCCTTCGAAGTTGTATAAAATGTGGTGTGTGATTTTACAGACGCCTGAGCCTACAGTAGACACAAGAACACTGCTGGCTGTGTGTGTTCACATGCTGTGAGACAAGCAGTGGGTGGGTGCCCTTCACTGGCCACTCATGGGCTTCTCAGGCTTGCAGGGGAGGAGGTAGAAATTGAGGACATCTGCAAAGTCCTTGAGGTGGTTACTAAAACATTGCCAGTTGACTGTGACACATCAGTTGACTAGTGTTTAGATTTTGAAAGGAAACCAGTTCAAATATTCTTTTGTAGGTCTTAAGAAATTATTAGGTCTGAAGAAACTTCACATCTGAGGGGGGCATTTTAGAATCTCAACTACATATGACTCCTGTGGGTCATTTTCTAAACATGTATAATTTAGCAATTCAAAGATAATCTATAAATTAATTGAGCATTAACAGTTCTTGAAGGTTCACATTTTTAGTGGATTCTTGTTTGACAGTCATTTATTGTTTACTCCACAGTATTTGAATTTAATTGGAAATGGGAACCAAATATGAGTGTGAGTTTAGGAAAATAACTCCTTGTTAAATATGAACGTCTTCGGATCTTCTTTGGCAAAGTAGCAAGCTGCCCAGCCATACAAATTGAAAGCTGAGTTTTAGAACAACGTGTCTGTATGTTTGGAACTGTGTGATCTAGTCTTCCATATTGGTTGTGCTTAATTTTGACCAGCTAACAACTCTTCTATCCGGTCTCCTGGTTGTGTCTAAGAACTCACAATTCTTTCTGTGCTGAGTAGAGGTACAGTGGAGACTCAGCCCAAACCCATGCCTATCACAAAATCAAGAACTACAAAATGTTGTGGGTTCCCAAGAGTCTTTTAGGAATAAGCTGGAAGTTTTAGGTCTTCAAACCTGTGTTTGACTTTTCTCCTTCCAGTTGCTCTAGGAATACTTCTCCCGGTGTGGACTTTCTTAGAACAGTGGCATTCTGTAAGTCATGTGATAGTAATGAACGTATATAATAAATATAGGGATTATTCATGCATCCCAAATGATGTTCCAAGACACTGGGTGTGTCTGTGCATTTCTGGTGAACGCAGAGCCCTTTGACGTTTGAGTGGAGAGTTCCAGCAGTGTCTTTGGAGTTCAATTGGAAATTGTGAATGGAAAGATGAGTAAATGTGTGTTT